AATCAAAACTTATTCAATGCACTTTTTTAAGATAACACTTCTATCAAATATAATATAGACTCTTTATTACTTAATACTTTTGTTTCTTTTTCTTTATAGATTCTATCACTTGGTTTTAAATACCGATTAGATAAATTTTAATCTAAAATACTGATCGATTATTTAAAAAGTTTTTGCACTTATTGCTCAATGCTTATGCTAGAATCTGCTATTATATGAATTACTTATAATAAAAATGAATTATATATATTAATACATGCTTTTCCAAAGATATCTTTATATATATAAACTAATAGAGGAAATAAAAAGCAGGTAGCTGTTTGTGTTAGTTGTAAAATACCAAGAACACATCACTATTCTCTAATATTGTCATCTATTCTATTTAAAATTGCTAATATTTCTATATTATACAGAAGATATTTCTTTTCTGTTTATTTGGATTGCTTATTAGACTAAACAGTAAGTTCAAACTACTACACTAATTATTATTATTTAAAAGAAGCAATTAATATCTTTTATAACTACTAAACTCTAGAATTATACTCTGGTTTAATTGGTACATATTTAAATACTAATAAACCTCCTAATTGGTTTCATAATTCTTTGGTTTTTACTTTTAACTGGCTTAAAAAAAATAATTCTCACATTCAAAAATATGCCTTTAATATTACTATTACTAATTCAAGGCCAGAAGATCTTATACCTACCCTTTTATTCTTAGTATGTCAATCTATAATTAGTTCTAATACATCATTGAGTACTTATTAAAGTACTATAGCTAATAAAATACTATATTTTCTAGATTTAGTTGTCATTAATGATTTTTTCTCTTAAGAAATTCATAATAAAGATTCTGGTTATAATTATTTAATACAGTCAGGGATTTTACCAAATTAGGAAATCGCCTTTTAGAATAATCCCTGTACCGTATTACGAATTTGATTGGCTGTGTAATGCTTTTTTGTGCCCATATTCACAGTAGGCTTTCACCCTATTCATTCGATATTACTGTATTAAACAATATACTAATAGTTAATATAAAGCATCAAATTTAATTAATCCTATTTGATCCCTCACATTTAACCATTTTAAAAAAAGTAAATGAGACATCAAATCTAAGAGTTTCTTTCAAATTGTTAAGTAAGAAGGTTTAATCTTGTAACTAACATAGAGTCTGAAATAATTTTTATATAGTGTCTAATCAACAACAGCAAAAGAAAGCACATGAAAAGAAATGTTTATTTGCAGATTTAGTTGAAAAGTATGAAAGCCTTGGGCTAAGACCTTGTGGAACAGGCAGGTTACAGAAATGGCGAAATGCAAGTGGCCCTGAAGTAGCTAGACAACTTGCGTATTATTATAATTATGTTCCTGAACTTGCTAACTTGTCTTTAGAATCTCATTCTCTTTGTTCTTCACATTATACTCAAATTGCTGCAACTAACCAATTTTATGAGTGTCTTGTAGGTTCTGCTTAAGAAAGTCGAATTGCTGAGGATAATCCAAGTGTTAACGAAAGCTTAACATTAATGTTGAAGATAACCAAATTGTTTATGTAGATTCAACAATTGAGCTTGACGAAGCTAGACAGCTTTTGGAAGTCGTGCAAGTAGAAAACCAGCAAAAATCACAGTTAATAATAGACCTCAATAATCAAATTGCGCAAATGCAGCAATATATTGAAGGTCAAAAGCGTGAAATAGAAGAATTAAAAAGCCAATTACAGAAAGCTCAAAATAATATAATTGATATTCGGGTTTTATATGATGAACAAGGTAAGCATAATCATGTTCTTGTTGAACAGTGGAATTCAAGGTTTGCTACTCAACAAAAACGTATTGAAGCAATAATTGAAATAGCAAATATGGAACATATATCAGTATTTGATGATATAAGATTTTTAGTTCAGGATAAGTCTAGGTTTTCTGTAGAGAGTCTTATGGCATATAGTCTACGTAAATGGCTTACTAAATGTAATCAGGTTGTTGTTAAATTTTTAGAAACCCTGATTCTGAACAATCAAGATGCTAATACCATAAGCCAAGAAAAACTTTTTAAGATTTCTGCAGCTGTCGATTTAATATATGGAGCACGATATAATAAATATATATCAGAAGTTCATCTTGCTATCTCGGCTATCAAGTATTCAATAGCATGATCAAAGATGATCATCGATATTGATAATCATATTATGTGCTCAGGAAGTTATTTTCGATTTCAAAGATGGTTAGAAGACTTATCAAGATATGGAGAACCATTGCCCAAAGGTCTTTTATTCATTGCATTTGACAATAAACAAAGAGGGCAAAAAAATTACCTTGACTATAGGTTCAATACAGTAGTTTACCACACTGTTACTAGTTTTGTTGCTTTTAATATATCAGCTCAAAACAAACTTCAGCATACTAACATTCCTTGGATATGTGATTCTCTTAGCAATTTACAGTACGAAGAGCTTTTTAATATTAGCCCTCAAATGCAAGAAGTCCTTAATAAAGAATTACATGCTTATCTTGCTAATATCCTTAATTTGTTGTTTGATGAAAAATCATTATCTACTAATGTTATCGATTCTCTTGCAGCATCTACAGCAACAAATGCTGCAAAGATGAAAAGGTGCACTAACTGCAATCTACAAAATATTGAAAATCGAAAGAAAACATGCCTAATGTGTGAAGCACAATTACCAACATTGGCCGAAATTCAAAAAGTAAAAGAAATCGAAGTTGAGAATCATATAGATAATCAATCAACTAATTTATTTATTTATTTTAAACCTTATAATAGTACTAACGATGAACTAAGTGATATGCATATTCCAAGGATCAGTCATACCCAGCAGCAAGTTATTAATTAAGGAGTTAATATTCCTAAGATTTTTGTACCCAATCCAATTAATATTAATCCTAATTCAATTACGAATGTCGAAAAGGTTCTCTCGCATATAGGGAAATTATTGGGTATTAAGAACGAAACTCGCAAGTGGGTAGCAGTAGCATGCGATGGTGTTCCATATCATCATGCTACCAAGTTAAAGGAAAAATTTCCTTGGTTGATTTTCATACCGGGACAGTTACATGAGAAAATAAATATGCTTCGAGCATATGTAAAATTAAATTTGTAGATTGTTTTTTGTTAAGTGTTTGTGATATTTCAAAAAATAAAGCAATTAAAAATTGCTTTTTTTTATGAATTAGGGAAATTGATATCAAGCAATTTGCAAGATGTCAAGGCTATCGGACAGAAAATCAACTCGCCTATTTCAAGAAATGTGCTGACTATCACAAGTTCTGGGATTCAATTGTAACATTTATCACCAGGCAATTTCTATGGAACTCATGTGGCCATATGTGAAAAATCATTCTGACTTGTTAGTTGAAAAATATTTTGCTTGGGCTAAAGATTAGCATGATTCACTTTACCAGATAAAGTTTGAACAGGTAATTATTAGCAATTTGTCTCTATATTGCACTAAATTCATCTATACATTATTACTAATAAGTGTTAAATTTATTATAACAGACATTTATCTATTTTCAGGCAATAATTAACTATCGAAAAGCTATAAGAACTAACAATTCTTTTTTAAAAGCAGCTGCGAGAAGAGCATTTTCTCCTGTTTGGTCTGCAAGGCACCATCCGATTTATCGCCTCATAGAAGTTTCTGACGAAGTTCAATTGATGAGGCTTCGTCCAGAAATACACAATATCATAGAAAAAAATTGTGTTGTTTCCCGGTCAGGTATTTTAGAACAGCATCAAGGCCTTGATGCAATAATAGAGGAGATAAATAAAATCTTGAAAACTTTAATACCTCTCATCCTGCAACAACGACATTGGCAAATAGCTGCACGAAATTGTAAAAAGTTCTTCAGAGTATGTAAAATTATTTAATTACTGGTAAATAATTATTCCAGTATTCTAATTTTTAACCTTAAATTAAAATTTTAGCTTCGGAAAAACTTATTCAATATAATCAGGTATAACAGTTATCAAGTGGTTAGGACAAGAACTCAGCCCGAATCGAGTATGAAATGCCAAAGATTTCGAATTCATCTGCGAAGCCTTGGATTTGTGAATCAAAGCCTAGAAGAATACGATTTAAATGAGGATCTTAAAAATTTTACGCATTTAGCTAAAAAAGCATGACAAAATTTTATTACTGAAGTATTTATTAACAAAAATCCTTCTTCTTTATTTAGATCAATACCGATCACAAAGCAAGAAGCGGAGGCACAAGAAAATGAAGAAAATATGACCAAAGGTGAAATCTTAGCGAAAATAGAAGTCTTTCTTGAACAGCTTTGCGATAATATCCTGAAAAAATATTCTGGGTTAAGAGCAAAAAATAAAAGTAAATTGCTAATTATATTGCAGAAAATACGAAGTCAACATAATTGCGAAGATCAATAATGTATTTTGGCCATATATATATATTTTCCTTTAGCTTTATTTTACCCCTTTACACATTCGAATTCACATGTAATTCAGTAATCAATTAATAAAATTAAATAAAAGTTGAATTTAAATCATTAAATTATATTGTTAAAAAGTACACTGTGAATTATAAGTTATAAAAATTTATTTATTTTTTAATGATAAAATTAAATATACATGCAAATTTACAAATACAAAATATAAAAATAAAACAATAAAATTCATTTGCTACACTATTGATGAATTAGAAGATTCTATTAAAATTCGATATTGTCAACGTTGACATATTCTAATAAAATTCAAAATTTATATTCATTAATGCTTTTTCTATCATCTAATAAAAATCATTTTCATAAATACTAAAATATTCAAACCTTTTAGTGCAGCATTTCTGTAAAGTAAATTCGTTAATGCTTTTCTTCTTTTGTTCTGAGATTAAATTACAAAGTCGATGTTCTTTACAAGATACCTTTGTTAACATTTAACTTTCAATCTACTAATCAGAAAAAAGTTCCTACAAAATGTATTTGTTAATGTTTAATACCACCTGATCAAGATCATTTTTATAAAGATCCAAACCTTTTGGTGTAGCATTCTTGTAAAGCGAATCTGCTAATGCTTTCTTTCTTTCGTTCTAAGATTAAATCACAGTTGTTATTTATAATGAGCCTTTGTAACATATTTAAATTTTCCAATCCGCTGAATAAAAAAAAGATTTCAGACTGAAGCACTTTAATCTTTTTACAAAACCTCAGATTTGAAATATTTGAATATGCCTTACTTAGTACTTAATGGTCTGGTGTCTATTGAACTCAATCAATACGTTAAAATCCTTATTTTAATCTGCTTGAAAGTTTTTTAAAACAATTTAACACTTTGAATAAATTTACTCAAATATTTCGGTATTCAAATCTTTTGTTTTCGAAGTTCACTTCTATTGATCCTCCTTGTGATCTAAATCTAGAATGCCTTCGAAATCGCTATGTAGATGGCACGCGGTTTCTTAAAATATTATTTAAATTTCTGTTTATTAAAAAAAAGGGTATAGAGTTAGTGTATGAGCAGTGAACTTAGAAAAATATAATAAGTTACACAACAGGTTTAATTTTATTAGCTTCCAAAAATTGGTTTTTGATCTCATTATAATCCTGTTTCATTTCATCCAACTAATGTGTTATTTTGATAATTTCTGTTGTAGAAGGTCGTTTGTTATGATCTTTATTCATACATTTTATTATTCAATATTTTAGTATTTAAGCGATAGATTTGTAGGCTATGTAAAATCCAGAAATCGATTAATATAGGCTCTAATCTGATTGGCTAATCATTGTAATATGTAGAATAATCTAGTAAAGAATTCTAGAATAATTCTATTGATAATCATTTCTAAATATAGTACAATCATTAATCACCAAATATAGTAAAATCTCTGACTGTATTATAGTAAAATTTGAACTATTATATTATTTTAAAAAAATATACTTGTATATATAATAAATTGAATAATTTAATTAGTTAATTTATATAAATCTATAAGTTAATTTTATTATATAGTTTTATAGACTAATGTTTAAAAACTCATATCTTAATAAGTTTTTATTTAATTTTAATAATTTTACTATTATTAAAATTAAAAGGACCTACTTTACAACTTTTATATAAAGATTAAACTTTATTTACTTAATATATTTTTTTAAAAAATTAAATATAAAAAAAGTGATAAAAATTTGCAACTAATTATATATAGAAATGATTAATGTTGTACTCTACTCTTAAACCCTGATTATCAAATTTCTTAATTAAATATTCAACAAATTTATCTAAATCTGTATATTTGTAGGAAAGGGCTTAAGTAATGTTTTTAAATAACAAGTTGTTTGATGAAGAAATTTGTAATGGCTTAATTGAAATCATAACAAAAATAATTGATAATGAAAATGTTAAAGTAACTTTTCTGACTTTTTCTAATATAAATAAAATAATAGTTCAAAAAGAAATATTCTATTTTGAAATCAATAAAAAAATAGTTTCTAAATGACAATTTTCTTTTCAAAACATGTTTGCACTTACTGTATACAAAGTACAAAAATTAATCCTATTACATACTACAACAAATATAGATGAAAATATGTTTGCAGAAGAACAAGTTTATGTTAATATGAGTAGAGCAACTTTATGGAAAAACCTTTATATTTTACATTTTGATGAAAAAATTAAAACTGTTTTTCTTTTTCCTTTTTCTTTTTTTTGTTAAACTAATTAAATATACTAAATTTATTATTTCTGTAAATTTTATAAATTTTATTTCTGCATATCTGAAATATCTAACAGCTGCTTTAAAAGAATACAAAATGCTAAACATAATTCATACTAATAGTTTATAAAACCTTTATGAACTTTTATTATTTATTCTCTACAATTTAATTTTTATTACTACAATCATCTTTTTTTTGAATATTTGTATTATGTAAATTAACATACTTTATCAATAAATACAGATTTAAATAAATTTGCCTACTTGACTTTTTTATTTTAACTAAACTATCTATTTTTACATCCTAAAATTAAAAACAATATGCTTACATATATATATATATTACATTTGATTATATATCGTTAAAAATAGCTTCAACAAGATGTTAAAACCTTTGTAAATTTCAAGACCTGAACATATTTGCATTAAATACAAAACTCTTTATTATTTAAGTTAAACCAAGTAAATTTGGAAATTAAATCACATTATGTAATATAATATTATGGAATCAATTCATAACAAGCTAAAAATAGAAATAGTAAAAAATCATTTTTTAATAAATTTTTATGTTTTTTAAAACATTGTTAATTTTAACTGAAATTAAAATTACTGTACCTGATTAAATAATTTCAATTTTGGTATTGCTATAATATTTTAATAATATTATTATATCATTAAAATCACATCGCATGATCTGAAATAAAATTTACTTAGTTATTAATAATAATAATTTATTTATATTATTTTAAGACAATATAATATTAATTAATTTAAAAATTGTATTTAAATTATTTGTCATCCTTAGCTAAAAATAAACTAAATTTGAGTTTTAAAACCAGATTTGTTTAAATTTTACAACTAAGAATGTTATATAACTGTTTAATATTAAATCAAATTTCATAGGCAGAAGTTTATCTAATTGCTAATAAATTTAGAAATGTTAATCAGTCCTTAGGGATTAAGTCCCAACTGATCCTTAAAAGGATCAGTAAGAACCTGAAGGATTCAGTCCTTAAATTATATGAAATAACAATACATTTTATAGGACTTATATCTTAGACTAAATTATTATAACAATACAAAATTAATTTGATTGAATAAACCTATTTAGTAGAATCTGATATAAAATTCAAATTCTGTATATTGTATTTTCATATAATTTAAAGACTAAGTCTAGGATCATTCTTTTAGATTCTAGAATTAGACCAAACCAGATTCGCAATTTAACATCTCTAAATAAATTCAATTTTTTTATTTTTTTTATTTATATAATATCAAATAGAAAAATAAGAATACATTTATATATTAATTAGATATGAATATATAACTAAAATATTATTCCTAAACTACACTATTGTTGTTATATACTATGACATCTAGTGTAATATTATCCTTTAGTTTTCTGTTATTAGTTAAGTTAATTGACATGAACTTAACTACAGAAAGGATAAAAGGATAAAAGGAACTTTTAAGATTATTTAATTAGTAAAAACAGGTATGTATAGTGAAGTTTTGAGTAAGAGTTTTAGAAATAAAAAGATCTATATTAGTGTTGAAAGTAAAAGTGATATTGTTAGAGTTTATAAGTTGAAAAATAGATAATTTGATATTATTTTTCTTTTTAATGAAGAATGTAATTCCTTATAATAATTCACATTTATGTTGTTTAGTATTACAAGTTTGCTAAATAGTAAAGTTGAACCAAGTAAGTAATAAGTTAGATAAAGAAATAAGAAATTGTTAGTTAGTTTTTTAAGAATAAGTTGAAGTTGGTTGTATTGATTAAGAGTTATTGTATTCTAAATAAGTAATAGTATTATATTATATATATTTAAGTTGAAAGAAGTGTTTTGTATAGTAAGAATTTGTATTATTGTATTTGGTAAGGTCTCTGTAATGTTTAAAGAGTTTAAAGCATTTGAGATTTCATTAGTAAGAGTGTCTTGTAGGTTGTAAGAATGAAATAAACATTGGAATAAGTATTTAATACTTTTATATTAATTACAATATGAGCAATTTGGGGTTAGATAAAGAAAAGGATAGCAGATATTTAGATTTGACATTGTAGATAAATTATTAAGAAGTATTTTGTTTCTAATAGAATATAATTTAAGATTGAAGTTTTGGGAGTTAATAATTTTAGTTAATAATAAAATGTTTATAGTCAAAAGGTTTTGTAGTAGTTTGAGTTGAAGAAGTTTGTTAAATGTTTGAATTGAAATTAAGTTTTTATAAAATTTACATAGTTTGTACAATTTCTTTCCAAGAAAAATAAGTAGATAGGAAGAAGTGGTCAAGATTAAATTTTAATTTAGTTTTGTTGGCACCTTGTTTGGCAAGAAAATCAGTTATATTATGTAAAGTATTTTTAGAATGTAATTTAACTTGTATGTAGTATAATTGATGTTTTTGAGTTTTATTAAATAATTGAACATATATATAATATTCTAATTATTTTGTTTGGTTTGTAAGTTATAGTAGTAGGGTAGTGCATTGAAGAGTGTTTAAATAGTAGATAAACTGTCTAAATAGATATAAATTTGATAATTGGCAGGTAGAATGAGAAATAGAGAAACGAGTACTACTAATTTAGCTTATATTAAGTTTAGTACATAAGTTATAGAAGCATTAAATTTGATTTGTATATCCTTTTCAAGGATCCAAGCATTGCTCATCAAGATGTTATTTATTTGTAAATTAAGTATAAAGGCATCTGTATAGAAGTTTAGATTAGTTGATTCTAGAAATAAGATTTTTTTATAAAAATTGATAAGTTGGTTTTGATAAATAGAATCAGGTATTGTGTTTTGTATTAAAAAAATTTCTGAAGAAGGTATTAAGAGAGAGGGTAAGAATTAGGAAAACTGGTTTGTAGAACTCTAAATGAATATTTTGAAATGCTTAAATTTCTTGATTGTTAATGTTAAACTTGAAGTATTGTTTTTTTTGTGTTTTACATTTCAAGTTAATAGTATTTTTGTAATTGGTTTAAATTATTGTAGGTATAGAAGAATGCAAATTGTGTTGGATGTTGAATTGATAAATTGGTAGTTTTGAAAGAGTAATAATAAGTTAGATTTATTTGTTATTTTGTCTATATGTCAATTTAAAGATGAAATATGAATTGTTTATATATTTTTGGTATTATTGAATTGAGATATGATCAGATTAAGTGTATTTAGAAATAGATTTATTGGTAAAAATTGGATGTTAGGCCATATATGTGTTATAGAAAAAGTAGATATTTGGTTTGAAAATATTTTGAACTAGCTTGAAATAAAGCCTTGTAGAGATTTGAGAGTTCTTAAATATATATTTTTTTAAAAAAGTAGATTTAGATTATTAGCTATAAGAAGTTGTTCAAAAAAAAGAATTTTGTTATTTTTAAGACTTGAAGTTGTTGAATTACTTGAAAATAAGATAAAGTTGTAAATGTTGTTTAGTTGGTTAGTTTGTTTGTAAGTTGATAGCTAAGTTAGATGAAAGTTGTTAAGAGATATATTGTTTTTATATAAGTGATGGAGTTGAGATATTATAGTAAAATTAGTAGTTTTCCTGTAATTTTTTAAAATTGTATCTTATGTTAGAAATGGTTTTTATATTTTAGAAAGTCATTCCTTAATTTGGTGTATAGTAATTTAGTTTAAAAGTTTATTAATATTGAAACTTCTTTCTATATTGCTGCTACTAACTTGTAGAATTAGTTTATTTAGTATAAAGATGTTGAATAATTATGAGTTGGTAAATATATCATTGTTTGTATTTGTAGATAAGTAAATCATATGCTTGAAGTATTTTGTTAAGAGACTTGATAATTATTGAAGCTGGTTTTGTGGAGAAGAGCAGATTTGAAATAAGTATTCAATTAATGATAAAAAAATGATATTAAATAGTTAAGTTATT